AAGGAAAGCAAGCCTGCATAAGAGAGCCATGACCACCCAGTCGTCTCTATTCCCTTTGTTAGCACTCAGTTGCAGCCCATCAGACAGTGCAGGAGGGTGTTCCCTGCCTGTCCCCAAGGAGTCTGGACTCTCTGAGGGCAGGGACAGACGGAGAAAGGACAATCTTGTAGCCAGTTTGCCACGTCAGAGCCCAGTCATGGACGTCAGCAAGCTACTTAGCCACTCTGAGCCTTGGTTTCCCATCTGTAAAATGGGATCATAATGCCCACCTGCAGGATTTGAGATAAATTTTGTTAAGTGTCTAGTTCAGTGGTCCACAAACTTTTTTTTAAGCACATAAACTCTTGTTGAAATTAAATCTCAGGAGAAACTCCAATATACAGATAGCTCTGTTGGAAGCAGGGGTGGAGGGCCCTAGGATTCCTCAACCACATTCTGAGGGTCTAGGGGGTCCAATGTGAAAAGATCTGGCCCCCGACAACCAACTCTGGAGCCACCTGAAAATGTCACAGCAGCAAGAGGAGGTGGATAGATTGTTTGACAAACTAGCATCAAAATCTGGGTATATCTTCAGGGGAGGCAAATGTGGATGTGGGGAGGGGGGAATGCATCCGCCATACATGAGATTGCCCTGGGAAACTAAGAGGAGAAGCTGCCACCAGATGCCCACTGTCTCACCCCTGAGTTCCCACCCTGACTTCCTACAGGAGATGGGATGAGGAAATGAGAGACCTCCTTGCCATAGCTGCCTCTCATCCAATAAACATACTTGTTTTCTGTTCTTCACACAGATACATCCCATTCCTGCTTCCTCACCTTGCCTCACCCCATACCTGCCAGCTGGAATGCCGTTTTCCCAAATCTTTGTCTATCCAAATCTGGCTTGCCTTTCAAATTTACATGTCACCACCTCTGGGAAGCCTTCTATGATTCTCCCCAGCCAAAAGAAGCATTCCTTCCTCTGACCTCCTCCAGCAAAAAGAGCAGCAGCTAAGAGCTTGGGGCTCAGTTTCTCCATCCGTTAAGATGGGAATGTGAGGACTAAGTGAGATTCCATGTAAAGCCCCAGCACAGTCCTGGCACACAGAAGGTACTCAGTAAATGGCAGCTGTTCATTATGAGGTTGTGATCTCCCCCTCTACCCAGGCAGGACCACAGCTCCCTCAGGCTCTGGCACACAGTAGGCATCTACTGAATGCTCATCTGGGTGACCAGCAGGTGGCCCCACACCCCAATTAACCTGCCCTAACCAGCTGCTGAGCTCCAGGAAATTGGTTCCCTTGAGTCACTGGCTGCCTTCTCCTGGCCAGGGGAAAGGGAGAGAGGGCAGAACTGGCAGAGTCTTGGCTTCTTGATGTGTCACCTAGCAGACACTTGGGCTGCACTAGTGACCAAGGCCTTTGGGCTTGGCCACCCCTCTCCCCTTCTCCACTGAAACCTTGCCCACTCTTGTGAGGATTACTCTCATTTAAGAGATAAGAAAACTGAGGCCCCTACCAAAAATAAAATTAAAAAAGAAAAGAAAAAAACGAAAACTGAGGCCCAGCAAAGTACATGAGACCATAGAGCATTCTCACAATTCATCAACTGGTAGAAGCATGTCTGCCAAGGATGACAGAAGGATCTGGCCTTGATTAATCAATGTCTCATTTTACTGATGGGGAGCCTTAAAAAGTGGAACAGCCTTGCCCAAGGCCTCATGTAAACCAAAGCTCAAATCTCCTGGCTCTAAACTAAATAACCAACCCTACCCCAACCCACACACAGGGTGGGAGGTGGGCTTCCCAGACCCTTGCTGCCTGCTGGCCTCCATTCCAAGGAGTGAACATGCTGGCTGCCCAGAAGGACAAAGGGAAGAATTTTATCCTGGGTCTGGGGCAGCTGTGAGCTGTGATGCAAAGGCTCAGCACAAGGCAGCCAGTTCCAAAGACAGGTCCTGTGTCCCTTCCCATGCCTGCCAGTGAGCGGGAGTTTCAAGCAGGCCTGGAAGCATTGAGACCCCTGCAGAGGTTGCGGCAAGCTGCATTTTGAGGCTCAATTCTGACACTGCAGTGGAAGGGCTGAATCGAGGGCGGAGAGGGGCTGGTGTGGAATAGCAATGAGCCAGGCCGCTAGAAGCCAGCCAGCACCAGGTTTACAAGACAGAAAACTCGGCTGTCAGCCGGGTCAGGGGGAACATCACTGGAAAGAAATGTCACACACACATGCACTCACACATGTGTATTTACCTCTTATGGATTCTTTTTTTTTTCTTTTTTTGAGGAAGATTAGCCCTGAGCTGACATCCGATGTCAATCCTCCTCTTTTTGCTGAGGAAGATTGGCCCTGGGCTAACATCCCTGCCCATCTTCCACTACTTTATATGGGACGCTGCCACAGCATGGCCTGACAAGCAGTGCGTCGGCACGCGCCTAGGATCCGAACCTGTGAACCCTGGGCCGCCGAAGCGGAGTGTGGGCACTTAACCGCTACGCCACCGGGCTGGCCCCTCTTATGGATTTTTTATTGAAAGCTCCCAGGGAGGCTCCACGGAGCCCATGCAAATGCCTGTGTCTGAACAGGCGGATGTGAACGTGTGGCTATTTGGCTTCTTAGCTCACCTGATACCAACTGATTGTCAGCAATTTGCTCCCATCTCACAGACAGCCACACTGAGGCCCTGGCTTGTGAGAGCTGTACCTGATGCCAGAGATCAAGGGGCCAGGATCTAGGTTGGACTTGTTGCTGGGCCAGGCTCCTCATGGGATGTTAGAAGTGTGCAAGCAGATGTGGGAGATAGGGGGTAACTACTTCTGCTCCCCCACCCCCACCGGGTCCCTACCTAGTCATAGGAAGGTTCATGCCCCTCCCCCACAACAGCGATGGGCTGAATATGGCCAATAAGAATCCTTCCCTGGGACTGGCATGTGACATCTGAGCAGGTGCCTCCCTCTGGGGCTGCTGCACCTGTCATCTTGCATGTGAAGAAGGCTGTGCAGGAGGAAAATCCAGGCCAGCCCCAGGGAGAAGCACAGACAGGCAGAGCTGAAGGGTGCAGAGTCCCTCTGTCCCTAAGGCCCTGGTCTCTGCAGTTCTGCCTTCAATCCTATAACTTATAACCTATCAGGCACTCTCCCTAGCCACTGAGGTGCATAAATTCTCTCTTTAGTTTAAACTGCCCCATAACATCTCCTTCTCAAGCCACTTCCTTCCTTCATAGACCATATCAAGCCTGTGATTCAACACTTATTTGTGTGATATTTTGTCCTCCCTCCTGAGTGCCTGCCTGGCACCCAACACAGGTCTCAGGCACAGTGGTGCTCAGTAGCCAAGTGAAGGAGTCTGTCTTCTCTCCTGCAGCTTTGTCACCAGACTGTATCTGCCTTTGCATCTGGCCAGCATTTCACTGGACAGAGTACACGATGAGGGTTGGTGTGAACCACAGGCTTGGTGAGGCCCCCAGAATTCATCTGGGGAGCCCAAGGGGCCTTCAGAAGAGTTGGCCCCTCTCTTTAAAGCCCAGGGCTGGAACCGAGGCCCAGGAATCCATATGATGCTGCTCTAGAGAGCAGGCCCTTGGGAGTGAGACCCCATGGATAGAGAAGGCCTAATTTTCTGGGTAGAAAGTCCCAGAGGTAGATTTGGGGCTGGATTGCTCTTCTCTTGAGCAACTTTAAGTACTTCTGTCCTTCCTGATAGCTAAGGATGCTGGGGTGGCAAATGGGTGTTGGATACTAATTATGCATCAGGCACCCCACTAAGTACTTCACACACATCATCTACCCAGCTCCCCTAGATGATTCTACAGGGTGGGCACTATCATCCCCACTACACGGTTGAGGAAATTGAGGTAGGAAAGTTGGGGGACTTATCCAATGTCGCCAGGCTAGAAAGCAGCCCATCTCAGGAGTGTGTGCCTGTCCCTGCCTTCTAACATCTCCACACCCTCCCCCACACCCTGAGGGGAAGTGGGTGGAGGAGGGAGCACTGTGGGTGCCAGATGAGCTCTGGAAAACTGGGAGGTTTTGAGATAGGAACTGGGGGAACATGCGAGTCAGGACCCCCCTCGAGGCTGCCCACAAGGGCTCCTGAGGGCTCAGAGTGCTCTGTTGCCGGAGTAGTCAAAAGACAGTCTCCAGCATCCCACCCCACCCCTCCCCGACATTCTTGCTGCCAAATGAAATCTGGCAGCTTCTGAAAATAGCTCAGTGCTGCAGCAGGCACTCTGCCCGCCCTTCAGCAGGCTGGCATGCAGCTGGGGGTGGCCACTGTAGGCAGACACTGGTGCACGCGGGGCGGGGGGTGGGTGTCACACACACAGTGCACCAGCGCAGCACAGAGCCGGGGGCATGGGGCAGCTGCCATCCCTCAGCTCCTCTGACCTTTCCACACCTGGCAAGGCCACAGTGGCCCTGGACTCAGCCTGGCATGTTTACCAGGCCGGAGGCATCCTCTCAAGGAGGGGTTAAATCACTAGTGGGTGTGAACAGCTGCCCTTGGGCCACTTTTGTCCACTCATGTAGACAAAGAGAAACCCAGGAGGCAGGGGAAAATGCCAAAATGGTGTTTATTGATATCTGGATGTAAAATTCAGCAGTGTTGTCCTATCTGACACAGTCTGGGGTTTCCCAGCCAGTGAGAGAGGGGTCAGGAACCAGGAACCTGGCTGGGTGTCAGGCACTTGTCAGGCCCATATCAGGCACTCAGCACCCAGAGGCTACCCTGGGCAGTGGGGGGGGGCTGGGTAAGCCTGGACCAGCAAGGAAGGGACCCTCTCTACTCTGACTCAGGCTGAAGACTGGACCAGACCTAAGCATCAGTCAGCAGCCTCAGGTCTGACCCAGAATATAGAAAGAGACCCGTGATTAATGGGGAGCCTCTTGGCCCTGCCCCCTGCCATCCACTCTCACAAAAATACACCAGGAGACAGCCCCTGCCGTCTACCAGGACAGGGTGGAGGATGAACCATTATGGAGTCCTGCTTGGGATCCAGTGAGCAGGTGGGGACAGGAGAACTGTACTGGCTTTTGTCACAGTGACATTTTCCAAAGTAGAAAAGGATTAAAAACTCCTCCCACCCTCAGTTGAGATGAGAGGCCACTCTTTGGGTAGGGGTTAGGTAGTAACAGGATGGCTGGGCCCAGGGACTCCGTGGAGGGAGAGCTCCAAGGGCCCTGTGGGATGGGGTTGCAGCAAGACAGGGCTGAACCACTCAGAAGGCAGGCAGACTGACCCTGCAGCCTCAAGGAGACCAAAGAGCAGGGAGTTTGAGACGGGCAAGCAGTGTAAGGGAGACCATCCTCCCTGAGAAAGCAGAGGCGGACCCTCAATTGCCCCTTCTCCCTCCCTTGCTCACTCACTCAGCATTCACAGACAGAAACTCTGTCCCTGGTCACCATGGCAACCAATGGCCAGATGCCTTTCCCAAGGCCAGGCCCATTTGCCCACGGCGAGGGTGTGGAGGGGGAGTGTTGGGGGGGTGTACTCCATGGAAGGAGGGAAGCCCAGCCATAACTCCTAGTGGCCTGGAAGTCTAATGCTGTGCCCCAGGGTAGGACTGAGCCCTGGCTCACTCAGGCCACTCTGGCCAAAGGGGCTGTAACTGCAGCAGGTGGTTCCCTGGCCCCCAGGCTCTGGCCCTTCTCTGGGTCTCTGGAGGAGATTTGGGGTCATGGTCTCCCATCTTGAAGTTCCAAGAGATACATTAAAAGACAACAAAATCATCCTTTTGTTAAAAAAATGACCCTGGGTGCTGTGGGTCAGGGCCTCAGCACACTCCAGTCTGTCCCCCAGGCTGAGAGGCTGACTCCTCCAACGCCCCGTGAGCTACTGGTTGTTGCAGCCCTGTGAGGCCGAGGAGCCGACTCCCTGCTTCTTTCTCCGCTTGTTGAGGAGCCGGTTGTTAGAGGTCTTCAAGTCCTTGATCTTCACCTGGTCGTAGTCCACTCGCATGGTTGCCAGAGCACTGGTCATCTCCTCCTGGGGACAGGTGTGGGGGAGGTCAGGATGTACTGACCTCAAGAGCCATCACCCTCCTGCCTGGGCAGTTGCTTAGCAATGTCAGTGACAACCTTTGCTGCCCAAGTGCCCACTGTGTGCCCAGCACTGGGCTTATCCCTTTGAGTCACATAATCCTCACTACAGTCCTTTGTTGTGGACACTGAGTTTATCCGCTAAGACACAGAACGGATAGTGACTCCCTGGGACCGCACCAAGGGTAGACAGGGACCTGGATCAATGTTACCTGCTCAGAACCACAAGGCCTGCAGGGAAGGCCATCTTGTTGGATACCCAAGGCACTGGGGCCTGAAGATTGTACCCTGGGTGCCCTAGGGCTCTGAGCTTCTGCTCCATATGCTCAAACCTGGCCTCTGCTGAGCCTAAAACCAGGCTGACCACCCTCCCAAATGTCGTAGATTATAAGAGGGGTTATGGCCAAAGCTTGTGGCCAAAGCCCCTTCAATAAGCCCCTGGCTCAAAGCCCCCCGTCATTGAGGGAGTGAGTCAGGAGCACCACTCTGAATGGGGTAGTGCAGTCCAATGCTCTGAGTGCCATGGCTGGACAACTGGTGCAGTCATTGACACCCTGTGCTCCAGGTATGAGGGAGGGGCCAAAGCCCCAAGTTCTGGGTAGCCACTGTCTTGGAATCCCTTTTTCTAAAACCCTGGAACCTGCAGGGAGACTGAGGCAGAGTCCACCCACCTTGACTTCATCCCAGTGGTCTTTGTCTTCCTGTAGCACTCGGGCCGTGTGAAGTGGGGTCTGTGGCACCACAATTGATTGCTGGAAGGAGCCCCAAGCCCATGGATTAGAACCTGCAGGCACCTGGGACAGCACTGGCTTCCCCAACCACTCTCTTACTCCCAGTCTCAGATGAGGAAACCGAGGCTCAGAGAGATAAAAGGGGACTGCCTGGAGCAGTGGTAAAGTCAGGGTGTAGGTGGGGCACTACCACACATCTCTGGCCCGTGCCAGGGCCTCCAGAGCCATCAGCCTCCTGCTTGGCAGCCCTGCTCCAGTTCACCACCCTGCCCATCCCAGGATGAGGAGGTGCTCACATTGATCCAGGGATGGTTCATGAACTGCGTGATGGTCAGCCTCTCTGTGGGGTCCGTCTTCAGCAGGAGGCGGATCAGCTGCTTGGCTAGGGAAGCGAGGGGAGTAGTGAGGTTGCAGAGTTCTTCAAAGCCAGTTGTCCCCCCATCTCTCCACACAGACCACAAGCTCTGCATATGCTCCCAAATTCCTAACCCACAGAAACAATGAGCTGGTCACTGTTTCTTGTTTTAAGCCACTAAGTATTTGGGGTGATCTGTTAAGCAGCAATAGATAACTGACACAGGGCAGAGTTGTTTGTGGTGCCCAAGGGGAAAATAAGAATGAGGGACAGGAGTTAGAGGAAGTTTTGAGGAGGCAAGTTTTGAGCCCATTTGGCAGATATAGAAACTGAGGTTCAAAAAGATTAGGTGACTTGTCCATACAGCTGGGATGTGGAGGAGCCAGGATTTGAACACAAATCAGTTTGACACCAAAGTGGTATCTCCCAGAATGAAGGCTGATGGTGTTCAGTGGGGCAAGCTGGGGCAGAGAGGTTCACTCACCATCATCAGAGACCTCTGACCACTCAGGATTCGGGAAGCCATACTGGCCCAGGCGGATCCTCCTCTTCATCCCTGGGGAGATGGCCTGGCCCGTGTTGGAGTAGAAGGGTGGGAAGCCGCATAGGCTGGGGAAGGGCAGAGGTCATTCGGCCAGGTGTGGGGGCAGCATCAGAGTGGACCCATTCTCCTCCCCAAGTCCCTGACTAGGGAGACAGCCAGCCAGACACCATAGGAATAATACCAGCCCTCTGGACTCCCGGGCTCATCCCAGGAATGCCAACTGCCCTTGGCATGGGGAGGCCTTCAGGCAGCCTGAAGGAGGGGTGTCCCATGATCAGAAGGGAAGGGCAGCCTGCATGAGGAGTGACCTGCTCAAGCTCCTCACCAAGGTTGTGTGGGGAGCAGAAGTGGAACTGAGGGTACATGGAGGGTGCAGGAGGTAGAGGCGGTGGTACTCACAGGATGTACATGATGACGCCCAGGGACCACATGTCGCATGACTTGTCATACTTCTCTGGGCCCAGGACCTCAGGAGCTACCATGGCAGAGGGCACAGGAGGGCTCTCAGCCCCAAGGGTCTTGGAGCCCAGGCAGAAGCCTGAAGCCTGAGCAAGGTGGGGAGCAGGTGCCCAGACTTGGGGGGAGTAGGGGGGCAGACCAGACTGGTGTCTGGCACTTTCTGGGAAGGCAGCATGTGTGTGAAGTTGGGGAGGAAAAATAGCTCCCGGAAAAAATAAACTCGCTTTTAGGCTGGGCTGTAAGAAATGATAGCCTTCTAGTTCCTTTGGGCCAGACTCAGCCTTGGTGAGGGAGGAGAGGGAGAGAAGGCCAGTCTGGGGCTTAGTGGGGTCCTTCCATAGGCAAGAGGGCCTCAGCCCACCAGCTGCCCTGGGTCCCTTGCCTCCCTGGTCACACAGCCTAGGTCACAGGCAAGGAGGGGCCAGGGCCAGGGCTCTGGGTTCCACTGTCAGCTTGGCTACCATTCCATGGGGCCTTGGTCTGGTCTTCCCGTCTGTGCAATGAGATGGGTAGGCCAGAAGATTTCTAAGTCGAAATACTACAAAACATACCCTGGTAAAAGGAGTGCCATTTCAGCTGTCTTAGGGGGCTTCCCACCCCTTAAACAGTTCTCTTGGAAGGCCTCTCCTGAGGGAGAAGAGCCCTCTGTAAGGGGAGTCATCACCCCACTCAGGTAAGGGGCACTTTCAGCAGGGGCTTTTCCAGGTCTGGAGGCTGCCCACTTACAAGGGAGCAGGGAGCTTTTCCAGGAAGCATGAGTATGTGCACACTCCCAAGTCCCATCCATGCTCTGGCCTATGGGACCCTCTCCCACAAGGCAGGTGGCTGGTGCCCTGTATCCTTCTAATGTAGGAGGAAGGGCCTGCCCACTTTCTGAATACGAATCCCGGGAAGATAAAAACTGGAGAAAAACAACCATGGTTGGGCTCCGTCCTGAGCTGATGGCAGCCTTTTATCACGTATATATTTAGAGCTGCCGTGATGTCATTCAGCTCACAGGCCATAGCCAGAATTTTCCTGGATCTATTTTTCAAAAGCAGAAGCTGAAGTCTGGGAGAATATTTTTGCAGCCTCCGGCCCCCCACGTCACCACCTCCACGCAGACAGTGCCCCCCTCCCTCCTTACTGGGCTTTAACCCTTTGGCTCCTGCAACCCACTGGCTGCCCCACAACACAGCAAGGTCCAGTGCGGGAAGGGAGGTACAAACCATGTCCCAAGGACTCACCCACATAATAGGGAGTGTAGCAGGGTGTCTGCAGGGCATTTTGGGTGGTCTCCTTGGCAAAGCCAAAGTCAGTGAGCTTGAGTATTGCATCTTTCTCCTTGGATGTGTAGAGCAGGTTTTCAGGCTGGGCCAGGAAGAAAAAACATTGGTCTGGAGTTAGGCACCACGTGGGGGCAGAGTCCCAAGGTGATCTTCAGCCAGACTTCCTCCCCCTCTTGCCCTAATCGATGCAGGAACAGCCAGGTCCATCTCGTTAAAAAGACCTGGGCCTTGGCCACCAACAACATGGGCCAAATATGCAAGACCAAGGTGGCTGGGAGGTGATACCTCCTTTCACAAAGGGGAAACTGAGGCAGGTGTTCAGCCAAGTCTGTGAATAACCAAGTGCCACAGAGAGTCCAGGGGCAGGAACTTCTGAAACTGAGTTGGTGATGCTGCCATGAAATGCCAAAATGAGGGTTCTGGGGGAAGGTACGCTGCTCATGAGCCAGTGTTGCCAAGTACACGTTCTGTAACCAACCCAGAATGAGCCAGCAGAGCATCCCCACCTGAGGTTGCTCAGGGAGACGGCCCCCACTGCCTAGGCCCCAGGAACTGCACAGAGGCAGTTCTTCCTGGTTGCAGAGCACAGAGAGGCCTGAGGGATGAGGGCAGCGGGGAGGTCTGCATGGAGGAGGCAGCCTTGAAGCTGGTTTTTAATAAATGGGTAGACCTAAACCCACAGAGAGGAGCAGGAGGGACCCCCAAAGAGAGCTGGGGTAGAAGGATGGTGTGTTGGATGGAGTTCCAGTCTGGGAACCAGTGAAAGCTATTCCTCAGGTTCTTATGACAATCTGACCTTGGATTGGGATAAAAACAGGGAAGCAGGTTTAGTCTACGCAAGAGAAAATCTCCTCTGCAGAAGGCTTTTCTCTCCTTGGGAAAAAAAGGAAGCCAGGACCAAAATAAAGCAAGGGTTCAGAAGGTGAGTCTGTCGTGGCTCCACGTGTATCCAAAATCAAAGGATAACTGGATGGTTTGGCAGTGCTCAGCCAGAGGAAGGACGACCTGATGTAGCAGCTAGACCCTCAACTCTCCTCTGCCCAGTCTCAGGGGAAATAAGCCTAGGGAGATAATGCTCTTAAGTCTGAGGCAGAGGGCCCAGGAATTATAGACTCTGCTCTGATGGTGGCTGGCACGAACATGCATGTGTATGCGGGGCTGCCCCAGTTTGCATTTCATCCATCTGATCCTGATGACCTCTAGGACCCAGTCTTCCCTGGATAGGAAATTTGGAGAGCTGAGCCTCGAGAACAGCTCTGAAGCCCATCCACTGAAATGGCAAGCAGGCCCAGCAACTGGGACTACCTCTGCTCCTTCTTCCTTGCCTCCCAGCAAATGGCTTCTTTCCCTTAAAATGCTGGTGTTAGAGGGCTTAATCTATTGAAACTATGGCTGTTACTTCACAGAAGCCCCAACAGTGTCAGGCAGCCCCTGTCTGAGGCCTGGCACATTACATGTTCACAAAAATCCTTGCTGAATAAACAAATGAATGAATGACTCCCAGTGCAGCAACTGCAGCCTTGGGCAAAACACTTAATCTCTGAGCCTCGGTTTCCTCATCTGTAAAATGGGTAATGGCACATATCTCACAAGGTTAGGTGAGGATTAAATGAGATGCTTGTCAGGGCCTACTGGCTTGAGGTAGGCACTCAGTTATTCTTATGGCTTTTGGGATTACATAATGTTTGAAGGAAACAAGGAGACTCATCTGGCAAGAGCAGAATGAGTATGCTAGAACATCGGAGAAGAGGCTGAGAAGAGCAGTCTGGGCCAGGAGGCAGAAGCCTTGAGTGCCAACCAAGAAACCTGGCCTCCATCTAGTGGGTGCTGGGAGCCACCAGGAATTGTAGATGGTACTCCCTTCCCGGGTCCCCCAACCTGGGTCCTGGAGCCTTACTTTGACGTCTCTGTGGGCGATGTTCTGGCTGTGCAGGAACTGGATGGCGGTGCCAATATCTCGCATGATCTCTGCAGCTTCTGCAGACACAGACAGAGGAGGGGGTCAGTGATGCCAGTCAAAAGTCATGCAGCTTGGGGATCTCCTCTCTATCATCCCCCGTGGGATAGCATAAGATGGTGACAGCACTCCTGCCACCAAAGACCCCCATCCCATACCCCCACTCTAGTCACCTAGTCTCCTCTGGGGATGCCCTCAGCCCACCTGGACCTCTTTTCTCAGGCCTGGGTACCTCTCCCCAGCTCAACTGCTGGTTGGCACAAAGAGGCTTTGAGGCTTCCATCCCAAGGCCATCAAGAGTCCATCTCGGACAAGGTGTCACAGACTTACAAAACCCCTTGGTGTATGAACACTCTGTCCCATCCTCTCTTGTTCAGCTGGGAAGACTGAGGCACAGAGAGGAGCAGGGCCTTGCCCGGCATCACACAGCAACTCTGTATGATCTGTCTCAGCCTGAATGCCCCCACTGGTCCAGCTGCATGCACATACCTCTCTCAGTGAAAGCCTGGTCGCCACGCTCCTGAATCCTGCTGAACAACTCACCTCCTTCCATGCTGTAAGAGAAGGTGACTATAAGCAGGGAGGGGGAGAATGAGGACTCAACCTGCCCCTGCCCTGAATCATGGGCCCAGGCCTCAGGCCCTGCTGCTCTTTCCCTGGGGAACAGTCACTGTCAGCCTCTGTGTGCCTTGCAGAGCCTGGTGCATGGAGGGTTGTCAGCTTGGGTGGGTTGAGCTGAACTCTTAGAACTAGAGAAGGGTGGTGGGCTCAGATCTTACCAGGGAGCCCCTGTGTTCCCAGTGGCACTGCCCCACCTGGCTGAGGCTTGGGCAGCCCCACCCCAATCCAAGTCTCAATTTCCCCAAATGAGGAATGACATGTCAATTACTGTCATCGTGACCACTGTTTTCTGAGCACCTACTATGTGCTGTGCCCTGGACAAACCCTTTGTGTGCACTGCTGTGTGACCCTGGGCTGGTCCCTTCACCTCTCTGTGCCTCAGCTTCCTCTTTTGTAAAATGGAGATTATGGCATCAACCTCACAGAGTTATGAAGATTGAATAAGCAATCACATGGAGCACTTAGACTAGAGTCAAGCACAGGGTGAATGCTACATTAAGATCTTCCTCCACATTTTACATGGGAGTTACAAAGATTCAGAGAGGTTAACAGCTGCCCAAGGTCACACAGCTAGTGGGTAGCAGAGCCAGGATCTGAACCCCAAATCTGACTCAAGAGCTGCTGACCGGTAGGGTGAGGGGAGGACTTGAATGGCAGATGGGGAGGAAATGGAGGCCCAGACACAGGACCCAGGATCTGAGGAAGGCTAGGGCTGAGCCACAGAGCTATAGGAGAAGCCCAGGGTGAAGGAGGCCACTGGCTCCTGGTTCTAGGCCCTGATCACACAGCATCTGGTGGGACCATGGGAGCACAAACCTGGGTAGGAAGGAGAAAGCTGAGGGGACTATGTATGTCCCTCTCTTCCCCATATCTTCCCCCACCCACATTCAGGGCTTGGCGGCCTTCTCTGACAGCTCTTCCAGCCCATCCTCACAAAGTGGAAATCACACCCAGGGAGGCCATATTAGAGCCCCTGTAGCTTCCTTCCCACCCTTGTGGGAATGCCCTCATGGCCAGCTGCACAGCTCCATGCACAGGGCCTGCAGCTGTCCCCACCCCTACCCCTCAGGGGCTGAGGTGCCTCTCGGAGCTGCTATGTGAAGAACAGAGAGGGCTCCTGGAAGAATGGCGGGAACCTGGAGGCCACAGAGGTCGCAGTGAGGAGCCAAGGCAGGGTGGGCCAGCATACCATTCCATGACGATGAGGAGACAGCGCTTGCTGTGATGCATGTTCTCATACACGTCCAGGATGCGCACAATGTGGGGGCCACCAGAGGCCTGCCAGTGGTGGTCCACCTCCTGCCGGGCCTTGGGGCTGTCATACAGGAGCTGAGGGCAGGTGGGCATAGAAAGCATCAGGCTCATAGCCCACTTCCCCAGCAGCCACCCAGATAGTGCCACTGCCCTCACTTTGCAGATAAGGACATGTAAGCTCAGAGAGGACTGTGACCTGCTCAAGGTCACCCAGCTTATGAAGGGCAGAATGAGGATTTGAATCCAGGTTTTCCTGACTTGTGGTCCAATAAGCCTCTGGACTTGACTGAGGGTCAGCCTTAAGCAGCTTGGTCATTAGCTCAGGGAGGCCCTGGGAGGTGGCTGACAGCTTGGAAGGGCTCAGAGGCCACAGAAACCCCTGCCCCCCTCCCCAGGGAAAGCAACTGAAATGGAAATTGAGTTTTGTAGTCAAATCACATATCAACTGTGGGACCCCAGGCCAGGGGCCACACGCGCCTTGAGCCTCATTTTTCCAATGGGATGGCCCAAGGGTTGTGGACCCAGAGGTAGAATTTAGGAGCAGAGAGCACCCTAGTTGAGGGAGGTGATGGCCTGGTGGAATGAGATCTAGGTTTAGAACTGAATTCCTCCAATGACTCGGTGCGACCTCAGGTGAACACTGACAGCTTCAAGCCGCAGCCCACAGCTCTGTAAAATGGAGTAACAATGGAGTCATCCCCACAGAATGCATCACAGCAAGCCAGGCAGCAGGTGGGCGGGCGTCAGAATCCTTGCTCAGGTTAACTCAGCCCTGAGCTATGGCTGCCAACCGTAAGGCCAATCACCAGAAATGAGCAAGGCTCTGGAGTAGTTCTGCTCAGAGGAGGTGTAGGGGGAGGAAGAGAAGTCAGCGTGCAGGGGGAGGAGGCCCAGAATGGGGAGAGCAGGGACAAGCCATCCCCAGGCAGGGCTGCTTGCCCAAGGCCTAGCCACATTTGTTTCCTAGTTGAGCTGGGGTAAGGACTAGGGTTGATACCCAAGATTGGGGCTCAGATTGCTCAGCACCACAGGACCCTGGGCCACCCCTGGGCAGGATGGTTTCCCCTCTGCCAGGGCACTCTGTGGGTCTGGCTCTGGGACCAAGCTCTCTAGGCGAAGGTAAACTGGGGCGGGGAGGAAGGCAGTGGGCTCTCACATCTGCTGCCCCTTTGCTGTTAGCTCTATTTCTGGCGCTCCTTGATTCGACCCTAGCCTGGCAGTGCAGGGAGTTGGGCAAGCCCCTCCACCAGCTCTGGGCTCCCTGCTCCATTACTCAGTCGGTGGGGCATGCATGGAGGCTGCTGCGGGCAGACACTCCCAGCCAGAAAGCCATGGATCCCTTGCTCATGCTGTCTTTGCCTCCCAGATACCCCTCAGTCTGTGCCCACACTGCTCCCAAGCACTAGTTTTTTGCTCACAGCACTGGGGACAGAGGTTCAGTCACCCCCAGTCACCACACCAGCTTGCCCTCACAGTGTCCTGAGGTGGCTCTAGCCAGGAGTACCCCAGTACTTAGCCAGAGGACCCACGATGCACCATCCTCCCTCCCTGCTCTGTCCTCTCTGTACCCCTTTTCTGCCTGGCCTCCTAACCCTTCTCCCTGCCCCTCGCCACCTCTTTCCCCAGCCTGACCTGATTGTGTCCTGCTGGGGCCCCCAGGCTGTCTTCTGAACCCCCTCCCTACTCTGCCCCACTCTGGCATCTCACCTGTACACCAGAGTCCTCTCTTCTCACATAAAATCCCAAGCCCATGGCTGGAATGCTTTCGATGGGTTCCTCAGCCCCACCTCTCTCTCTCCGGCCCTTCTCTACCTATCCCCTCCACTCTTTAAATCCCCACCCCAGTCCTCCAGATAAAGGCCACCTCCTTGCCTGGTGCCCAGGACTTGCCTCCCTTTCCCATCTCATTTCCTGCTACCTCTAGCCCCAGAACACTTTTTGATCTAGCCAGAACGATGTACAAACAGGCCTCACTCTATGCCTATGCCACGTGCACTCTTGCCCTGTCTCCTTCTCCATTGGGTCAAACCCCCTCTTTTTGAGAAACCTTCCTGGCTCAGTTGAGATGTCTCCTCCTCTAGAAAGTCCCGCCAGCACCTCCCCGATGGTTTTTGCTTCTGTACCTCCCACCAGGCTGGAAGCAGCTTGAATGCAGAGGCAGGTGAGGTTAACCAGGTCCCTGGCTGGGGCCTAGCAGAAAACATTGAGCTCCTGAGCAAACAAAGGATGGGAGGATGGGCATGGGGCTGGAAAGAGACAGGAGATGTGTGAGGGAGAGGCGGGAGGAAGGGGCCGAGGAGAGGCTAGAGAGCCTCATGGTCTGGGCTTGCAACCTGTGCCTTGCTAAGGTGGAGAGGCAGGTGGAGCTGCCCTGAGTTGGAGCCTCTCAATGCCTCCCACCCCACTCAGTCCATATTTAGGAACCCATTTCCCACACCAATTAAAATAGTCCTTCTCTGAGTGCCAAGGCCCTGAGAACAGGCACAGAGAGGAGGAGAGGGCTGCCCCCAGAAGCATAATAAATGTCCCCCTCTGGCCTCTCTGCAGGGGAGATCACAGGGGCCAGAGCCCCGGACCTGGCCCCATCCAGACCCAGCTGCCAAGAAATCTCCTGGCCTGTCATTCTTGACCTCTCGGGTGGGTTGACCTTGAATGTTGCCCCAAACCTCTTAGAACCTCCATTTCCTCATCTTTCTTCCCCATAGCCAGAGGCTTCTCCTCTTCCAGGCATCCCCTCCCCATGTCACCTCTTCTCAGAAGACCTCCCTGACCATTCTGTGTAAAGAGGACCTCAAGGGTCCCTCATTCTCCCTTCTCTCTTTACTTTTCTTTCTTTATATATATGCTTTGTTTATTGACATATACTTTACATACAGTAAAACGTACAGGTCTCAAGAGTCCAGTTCAATGAGTTTTGACAATTGCACATACCCCTGTGACCCACACCGCAATCAAGACAGAAAACATTTCCAGGTCCCCAGAAAGCTCCAGCGTCATTGCTCTTTTTATCTACCCACTGTGCAGCACTTGCTCACAACCTATAATTAGATTGTTTCTTTGATAACTCTTTAAACAAACACACACACACATATAGATACTGCACTTTCGACGTGCCTGGATCTGTTCTGAGCACTTTATAAATATGAGAAGGAAGGGACTTCATTATCACCGTTCTTCAGCTGAGAAATTGAAGCACAGAGAGGAGAAGTAACTGGTCCCAGATCACGTGGCTGCTTCCCCAGTCAGGCCGGCACCATGCTGCCTCCCTCATCAGACTGTGGGCCCACAAGGGCAGGGCCGATCTGCCTGCTCACCTCTGGATCCCAGTACTAGGGCACAGGGCCTGGTGCAAAGCACTGGCTCAGATAATATTTGTAGATTTAATGGACAATCTATAAAGTGGGGATAAGGGGAAGAAACTCTCACAACCCATCATGAGGACAGAATAAGACTAAATTGATGAGGACCCAGGAAGGCTCAACAATTGAGAGATATGACAACCTGGCCAAACTTGTTCCCCACTGTACCTCACCCACCCTCTCTGGTGAACCAAACTTTACTTCCTCTTCCAAGGAGCCCATCCCGACTGCTCCAGCCCACAAGGCCATTCTACAAGTTGGCTTCATTCATGCAGATACATGAGTCCACACTATCCTTCATAAAAGGTGTCCCCAAGCAAGAGCCCCATCTTCTCAGGCGTGGGAATGAGCATAGGGCTAGGAGACAGGAGGCCCAGGTTCTACTCCTATTCTCAGTGTGACCTTGGGCTGGTCCTTTCCCTCTCTGGGCTTCTGTTTCCCCAGTGTTAAGCTGCAGGGCTTGGACTAGATTGAGGGGAGGGGGACCAGAAGGGGGACTTCTGGTCAGGGGCTCCTTGCAAAGTGCTTACTGTAGCCCCACTCCTACATCACTGCCCCCATGGAGCAGACACTGGGTCTCCATAGACCCCATATCCAAATGCCTGAACCCAATGGGGGCCACCTGGTATCTTGGTCCCCAGTCACAGCTAGTAAGAAAAGAAGATGGGATGGCCTTCTGACAACCCAACAGACGCCCTCCCTCGCCTCATTCCCATCCTACATCCCCTGAGACTCCCCCCTAAGAAGTCCACCAAAGCTGGAGGGTCTGTGATGGCTCCTAGGTAGCCCCAGGGCTCCAGCCAGTGCCCGACAGGCACCCCCACACCCACCTGTGAGACAGAACCCTGGCTTTCTCCTAAGGGAGGGGGCTCCTGGCTGTACTTGAGGTGTGGGCCCCACTGAAGTTAGATGAGCCTTGAATTTGAGAGGACATTTCCTTGAAAATGACATTGTTCTATCCTCAGGCTTTGATGAGGTGGTTTCCACCTCTCTCATCTCCCCTCACTCTCCTTTGCCAAATTTTCTTACCTGCCCCCAGAGCCCACAGCCAGATGGCAGATCCCTGCCCACCCCACCAGACAGGGGACTCCAGCAAAGGTTGAGGGCAGAGGGGTTCATGCCTCCACAGACACCTGCCTGTGCCCCTCCAGCATCACCAGGTGGAATAGGAGCCTCAGAACTGGCCAGGCCTCCTCACTACCTCCATGCTGTGTCCGTTCCCATCCAAGGACAGGGTTTACATGTAGATGGAGGAATTCTTAAGTTCAGAAGCAGGGAAAACAACAGCAGCATCTGACTGTTTGGAAAACAATTTGCAGTTTACAAAACACTCTTTTCTCTTATCTCATGGAAATGCTTGGTGCCACCCTGTGAGGCAAGCAGGGCAGGGACCATTAGCCCCAATTTACAGATTGAGGAAAAAGAGGCTCAGGAGGATGAGGTCATTGCCCTGGGGCCACCTGGCTGGAGTAAGGCAAGGCTGGAACAGGGAGGAGACAGGACTTTTGAGAGAGTATCCAGACAACCCCTCCCTGAGGGGAAATTAGAGGAGGGGGTGGCCTCAAGTCAGAGAGGCACTGCCAAAACTATAGCTTGCAAAACTCGGGAAACTTGTTCTGAAATAAATGGGTGCATGTGTGTATGCATGAGCAGGGTGGGGGGTGCGAGTGTGTGCATGGGAACATGAGTATATGCATGTATAGGGTGTGTATGGGT